TGTGAAGCGACAGCGCTAACGTGCACGCTCCGCGATGGCGGCGCGCACGGAGGATCGATGACGACGCAGCGGAACGCTCCTGCAAGCGCCGGAGGAAGTGCTGTCGGCTCGTGAAAGTCGTACCGCACGAAGCCCGGCTCGCCGACACCGAGGGCCTCGTCAAAGTCAAGCACGCGCGAGCGGGCGCGCTCTGCCGGCGTCAGCGCAAAGAATAGTGACGGTGTGGAGAGGAAGGCACAATCCAACGCACACGAATGGTCGGACCGGAAGCACTGCTCACGGACGAGGTCACAAAGCGTTGCGATGGTCGAGGCGCTGTACCAGTACTGATTGAGGTCGGCTGCGGCCTCAACGTGGTCCTCGAGGTGTGCTGAAAGCCAGGCGGCGGCGGTCTGCGCCGTGCACGAGCCGCTCGACATACACATCGGAAGGCCCGGGGGCGCCGACACGTGCGGGCGCCAGCGGCCCTACACATTTGTAACAGAAAAAAGAAAACGCTGAGTTTCTCTAGGATTCCTACACATTTGTATCTGTTTTCTTTCTTTCTTTCTTTACACATTTGTAACAGAAAAAAGAAAACGCTGACGTTTATCTGTTTTGTTTCTTTCGAGGTTGGATGGCCGCACTCCAAGTGCGCCAAGCGCTGAAGATATAAAGCACGCCACCAGGAGACACGACTAGCCGCCATCCTCGCCCGTGACGAAAAAGGCCTGGTTCACAAAGTCCTTGAGCAGGGGGTTGTACCCGCTCGCCGTCGTGGTGGCCTCGAGCCGGGCGTGGCGCTGCATGAAGTCTGCGGTGCTAACCGTCGCGCCGCTCCGCCCGCCGGATGCGTGCGCGTAGAGCTTGCCGAGCGCCTCGAAGGAGGTTGCAAACATGACGTCGGCCTCTCCAAACGGCCCGGCGAGGTAGTCGCCGTTCCAGTCCCGCGTCTCGCCGCCCGTCTCAGACTGGCTCTGCACAACGGGCGCGTTGACGGCGGGCGGGCCGCCCGAAGGACGAGGCGCGCCCTCGGCGCTCCAGTACCGAAAGTCGGCGAGCGTGAGCTGGTGCTCAGCGAACGCGTCGCAAAG